GACAGATTTTCTTTTTCCATTTTCTTTTTTTTTTTTTTTATGATAGTCACACACAGAGAGAGAGAGAGAGGCAAAGACACAGGCAGAGGGAGAAGCAGGCTCCATGCACCAGGAGCCCAACGTGGGATACGATCCCGGGTCTCCAGGATCGCGCCCTGGGCCAAAGGCAGGCGCCAAACTGCTGTGCCACCCAGGGATCCCTCTTTTTCCATTTTCAAGTACACTTCGGGGCAACAGCTGACCTCTGGCCAGAGTTCTGTGCATGGTGCATATGCTTAGGGACAAAAGGGGGGGAGGTGCGAAGAAGAGGTGCAGTGGGAGGGCTGGCCTCTCGGTTCACCCGAGCACAACACCATGCCAACTGCCAATTCTCCGTTACATTCACATTTGGCTCTCGGCTAGGAATGAGCTCCCAGCCTGGCTTAGCTGTGCTCAGGGGGCTGCTCTCTGGTCCAAGAGGGCATGAGCATCCAGTGGATGCCATCCTCTGGCCACAACAACAGCTCTCAAACTTGGATATGCTTTAGAATCATCTGAAGGCTTTTAACACATACCTCCAACAAGCACCCTACACACACCAAATGCTAATCACGTTGGTGTGGGAAGGGCCTGGCCATCAGCATCTGTTAAGTGCCCCTAGGGGTTCTAATGCCCTGCACAGCGCAAAGAGATCAACTGCTGTCTGGCTTTCCCAAGCAGGTGTAATACGAAGCCAGGAAGCCTAGCTCAACTGCAATGACAAGGTTGCCCCCAGGACCTGAGGCTCGTACACAGCACATGAGCAAAATTAAGACCCTAGCAAACTCTCCCCATCTGCTGACCGCAAGATCAGTGCTCTCCCAGAACTTCAGCATTGGAGAGATGCCCAGAGGCCACCCGGTCTGAAGCCCCCCCGAAGGGTTCTTCCAACCTCAGCGTGTAGGGCAAAGCCCCTGCTGACCAGAGGCCTGAAGTGAGCCAGGCTGGACACTTCTGAGCCTCCCCTTGCCAGGCCCTGTCTCCTTCCACAGCACTGGAGGTGAGGCCTAGAGGGTCACTAGAGGCTGAGGCCTCCTGCTATCCTGGCCCTTAGAAACACTGATGCCCTTTAGCCAAGTGAAGTGCAGGCCTCGGGGAGCACACTGAAGGCCGTCCTCCTACTTCTCTCTCCAGCCTCATTCCTCTGCCAAGTGACATTTCATTGCACAAGGGGGGTGGGAGCAGTTGGTGGTTATCTCTCGGCTCCTCCTCTGAGCCACAACACAGTGTAGCAGTTAACGGCAAGGACTGCGGAACTACCAAATGCACATCCTGGCTCCTCCCTCCCTGGCCGTGTGACCTACCAGGTAAGGGGCTAGCAACCTAACCTCTGTGAGTCTGCATAGCCTCAGCTATAAAATGGGAGGAAAAACTCTACCCAGCCCATAAGTCGGTGAGGTTACATGAGCTACGCCGTGCCACTCCGTGTGGGGGAAGATTCGGAAGCTGTCCTTGGTGTTCAAGTGTGAGCTGTCACAGTCCCCACCCACTGAACTCACTGCTCCCTTCCTATCTTTATCAGGGGTCATCCCCCACCTGGAGCTCTCTCTCCCCTTCCCATGCTTCTCCATCTGCCCTCTGCAGCCTGGATCTGGTTCCCAACCCCTCCTCCGGTCTTCCAGAAAGCCCTTCCAGATTGTTCCAAACTGTACTGATCTGTTTCCTGTAGAGATCTCCACACTTCCCCAGAACTCAGATCTAGTAGAAGATGGGAGACCCTGGAGGCACTCCATACCGTAAGATGACAACTCTAAGTAACTATCATGTTTTTGTTGAGTACTTAGCAAATGCCACATAGAACCCTTAGCATTTCCCATGACTGGCATTTAATGCAATAATGCTAGGTAGTACACATCTTTTCCTCCATTTTTCAGACAGAAAAATGAAGGCATTAAGTGCCCTTTGCAAGATCACATGGCTGGTGAGGGGGGCTAGAGCTTTAGTGGATCGTATCCTTCTTCCAAGGCAGCGGATCCCAATGGTTGAGGGCACAGAGTGCCCAACTATAAGTTTCACCTCTGGATCTTACTGGTCTCCAAGCAAGGTACATAATCTCGGTGGGCCTCAGTTTCCTCGCTATAGAATAGGGGTAATAACAGACCCAACCCTCTAAGTTTCTGGAGAAAAAAAGCACTAGCACATTGACTGGCACATGGTAAGTCTATATAAGTACTGGCTACTAACATGATCCATCCCACCTGCTCATTTTAATAGAGAAGGTTCTGAGGCACAGAGAAAGAAAGAGCTGTGGAGGTGGTGATCCAGCTGGGCCCTCAGTCTCTTCTTTGCCACCTGATGGCTGCCTTTTGACTCTACTTAATAACATCTCAGCTTCGTCTATAGAGCCCCATCCTATGACTCATAGCAGGACAATAGGGAGAGGTAAGAGAATCTTTAGGCAGACTGTAGGAGGGTGTAGACTCCTCTCTGCTCTGGTCACTCAGAGTCAGAGGAAAGCTTGCTTCCGGAAGACCCCTCCACACCCTGCCTCTTGCATGCCCAGCCTGAATGCCCCTTCCTCCTTGAAGCCCTCCCTGATCCCACCACCTCCACTCACCCTGCGCAGCATAAAGTACTTTCTCCTTCCACTGAATTCCCACAGCACCAGCTCCACCTCTCCGCCCTGGCATGACCTCTGTGAACTGCATCCGGGCCTATCAGTCTCTCTGCAGTCCCCTACCTGTGGCCTTGCCCTACTCAATCCAGGCCAGACACTAAGATTCCAATTTGTCATATGAGTGAGCGAGCGAATGAGTGGGTGAGTGAATGAGTGAGAGTGAATGAATGGGTGAGTGAATGAGTGAGTGCATGTATGAGTAAATAAATGAATGAATGGGTGAGTGAATGAATGAGTGAATAAATGAATAAGTAGGTCCGCAGATGAGGGAATTTCTTCCACAGGCCTGGGGTTCCTCACCCAAGTCCAGGTTTGAGTGTGACCTGTGGTCAGCCCTGACTCACAGGGCCCCTGGGCCCCTAGGCCACCTCTCTGTAGCCCACTCCCACCCACCCTCATTCAGGGTTCCAGATACAGGGAGTTACCCATTCCCCTCCCCCACCTCTTCCTGCTAGGGTTCCTTCAGCCGAGAATGTTCTCCCCACCTCCCCACTCATCCATCCCCCAGCTCTCACCTGCCATCAAGCGCCTGCTTGTCCTAAGCCTCGCTCAGGGGTTTCAGCCTAGCTTCTCATCGGAATTGCCTGGGGAGCCTTTAAAACTCATGACTACAGCGGACCGCGGTTCTGATTTAATTGGTTTGGATTGTGGCTTGGGTAAATTTTTCTAAAAGCTCCTGATGATTCTAAAGTGCAGCCAGGTTTAAGAACCAAGGATCTAGTTTGAATACCACCTTTTCCATGAATCCTTGCCCACCTTCCCCACAGAGAACTCCTTTCTTCCTGTCTGGAGCATCACCTGGGGGTGAGGCCCCCCAACTCAGCACTGGCCTGCCCACTCCTGGGAGGGTGTCCATCCTCATATTCATCTTGCTCATGCTTCTTTGAGGGCACCCCTGTGGCCAGGCCCTCATGCTCTCCCCCAACCCAGGGTTCCCCAAATCACTGTGCAATTAACCTGCATGCAGCTCACCAGGCCTGGTCCCCACCCCACCTCTACTCTTCCCTCCTGGATGCTTCTCATTGCTCAGAGACCTCCAATGCAGGAACAACTGGGGCTAGGAGGCAGGACACCTCAGCCTCACGCCCACTCCCACCCCCATGTGGCCTAACAAGTCATTGCCCCCAGGGCTCCCCATGTCCCATCCCTGAGACCAGAGGCTTGGACCAGATATTCTTTTGGTCTCCTGCAACTGTGTACTCACCTGGGCCCCCTGCTTCAGCTGCCCTGGGTGAGAGGGCCTAGAATCCACTTTCGGCTTCAGTTAGGGCTGAGCCAGAGCCTGGCCTGGAGGGAAAGGCCAGCCTGGCCAGGAGCAGCTTCATTACCAGTTAATGCTCACTGACTACACAGGGAGCTCAGCCCGGAGGGACCATTACATTTAACTGGGCTGCCGATTAATCAAGGATTTAAACAGATGGTGCTCAGAAGAGCTCCTCATAAATGAGGAGGATCCAGAGGGAAAAGTAGAGCCCTCTAGTCTGGGCAGAGAGCCCCACCCTCCAGCAACATAGGCACAGGTGAGGCTCCAAAGCCTCCAGGGATGTCCCCAGCCCCGAATCCCCAGGCCCTCTTCTGCCCTGTGGGCCTGCATCCCATCTGCACCACGAGTGCAGAGAGGAGTCAGCAGGAGAGGGCTTACACAGACTCCTGGATCCCCGCCAGGAGCCACCCCATGCCCTCGGGACACTTGGAAAAGGTGGGAGGGATTGGGGGTTGTCACTGGGATTGGGGGTGTTTCAGGCATGTAATGGGGAGAGCTATGACTGCTGAGTGTCCTGCCGTGCATGGCCCCATCCAACACCAGGAGGCAGCACCCCCCACTACATCACTGCTAACAGCAGCCCCAGGAAAAGCTCTGTACCCAGCAGGCGTAGGAGTGGGGTTCCTGCTGTAGCCTCATTCCCTGGCTTCTGGCGGAGCGAGTAGAAGAAGCGGGGAATGACCCCACACTGCCTGCTTTGGGTTGACCAGGTGCTCTCCGGCTCGGCCACTGGCAACAGCTGTGTCCCTGCTGCCACCAGGCCCAGGCTGCTTGCTAATAAGCTCACTAACAGCCGCTCCTCAGCGCAGACACCAGCCCGATCCCAGCCCCCGTGGGATCAGAGGCAGCCACATCCAGCCACCCAGAACTGCCTCCTCCAGAGTGAGGCATCCTGAGCAGGCTGTCCCCCAGGAGGGCAAACCCGGGGCCACTGCCCAGAGCAGATCCAGGACTCCCATCACCCCAGAGGGTTTTCAGAAGGGCCCAGACACCTATACCCTCCACCACTCTATATAAAATGGCCAGAGGCTGGGACACCAGTTTCTGAAGGCTGGCCTGGATGTGCTGGGGACACCATGACCTCCACACCACCCTACTCACCTGGGAAGGAGTCGTTCAAGCCCATCAGGTCATTGGCCCTCTGGATCTTCTCCAGGCACATGGCTTGCTCCTTCTTGAAGATGCAGTCAGAGTGCATGGCGGTGGCCTGCGAGGGACACACAGGATGGACAGGAGGAGCAAGGAGGAGGCTCACCTGCAAGCCCTGCTACCTAAGCCCCCGGGGCAGTGTGTGGGGGCTTGGGGGGGCAGAAGCAGGAGGAAGATAGTGCCAGAAAGATTTCAGGGCCAGCAGGGGCCCTGACTCCACTTTGCCACGGATACCACGGGGGCTCTTCTCCTTCCCCAGTTCAACGTGCGGCCTTCACTGGATTCCACCCCTCCCTGGGTCTCCGTTTCCACGTGTTTAATAATAGTAGCAAACACACACACAGCACTGTGCTACTGTGTGCACGCATTACTCTGTCATATACATACACCGTCTAAGAGCTCTAGAAAGTGGGTACTGGGCTCATTCTCCATCTGACAGACGTGAACCAAAACACGGAGACATTAAGTAACTTTCTCAAAGTCACACAGCTTAGAGACTGTACAGCCAGGATCCAAACCTAGGCAGTCTGGCTCTAGAGGCCCTGAAGCTACTACTACTGGACTTCGGGGGAGCAAGGAGGGGATGGGAGAGAGAAGGGGCTAGGAGAGCTCATCCTCTCTCTCCTCTGGGGGCTCAGGAAGGAGGTGCACCCCCAGCGGCTGTGGGCAAAGGAGCAGTGGTTGCATTCAGTGGGACCTACTACTGCTCCCATTCACTCCTGCCCCCACGTTACAAAAGCGGAAACCAAGACTCATTAAGATCAAATGTTCCTGCCCAAGGTCACACAACCAGTTAGTGGCAAGTGTGGATTTAAGCCCATGTGTTGCTACCATGACAGCTGTGTTCTAATGCTGTCACTTTCAAGTAAAACCTTGGGGCAGGGATGGTTCCTCAAGGGGTGCCCACAAGTACGAAGGCAGGCACAGGCATCTGAGCTGCTAAGGACAGTGCTGAGGGATCCGATCTAGTTTTGACTATTCACAGGTGTGCAGGCTTCCAGGGAGAGGGCTGAGCTTCTCTGGGGTCATGAGTAAGGCCAGTATGGAGACAGGACTGGCATCCAGGCCTCTGAAGACAGCTGCATCGACTGCTGGTCTAAATTCCCAGGTTGAGGGGCAGAGGCCAAGGCCTAGGAACCCTCCTCCCCGACCCTTCCCTTCTTAGGGAAGACGCATTAGCAAAGAGCAGGCTTCTGAGCTCTAACCTGGCCGAGACTTATGGGCTGGGGATTGGGATCAAAAAGCTTTCTGCAGCTCTAACTAAGGCCCCTGCATACAGTCGAGCAGGTTGTACACTGCACAACTCTAAAGGTTGCCACATCTGCATCATCGTAATAGATTAGTAAATTGTGTCATAATTTCTAGGCAAGTCAGTACAAGATCTTGAAGAAGGGGTACCCTTTGTATCTCACACAAAGGTACTGAATGGCTCGGTGGGGGTTCAGGCAGAGATAACAGCCAGCTGACCTGAGCTTGGCAAAGGACACACAACAGACACAGGTTCTCTGGGGTGTGAGCTCAGGTGAGCCTGGGGCTCCAGTTGGTCAAGGAGGGGAGGGTCCTGGGCCCTTACCACAGGCAGCAGGAGGAAAGCAGCCAGGGAGGCCTGCAAGATGCTGGCCATGACGCTTCTCAATCCGGAAGGAGACTCAGGGCAGCACTGCTTGCCTCCCACTCAGAGCAGCCACTGGTTAACCCCAAGGTGTCTACGGCCTAGAGAGAAAGGAAAGCATGAGTCCTGTGGGTCCCGTGGCAGAGGAGGGGCACCTGACACCCTCCTCACCTGCAGCAAGGCTCTGGCCTACAAGGGTAAGCCCCTCCCTGCCGTTGTCTATGCCTTCTTAATTCTTCTATCAAACAGGCATTTCCTGAGCACTTACACAGTGCTGGGCAGTGGGGATGCGGTGGGGAACACACGGGCTCAGGCCCCCATCAGACCACCAGAAGGGTCTGCATGGCTTCCCCTCTGTAGCAAACAACTGTGTCCCCATATCTCCCTCCACTGCCACAGAGTCCTAGCTGGCACAAGCATGCCCACCTCGAGAGGACATTTCTTAGTCCCTTCTGCTCACAGGTGTGGGCCTGTGATGAAGTTCCCACCTACAGAATATGGGTGGGAGTGACATGCATCACTTCTGTACCATGTGTCCCTCAGGCAGCACACACTCCCCGCTTCTGCTCTTTCACCCTTCCTAAGTGCTAGACCTGGCTGTGACAGTGCCACCAAGGCAACACCCATGGAGTGGAGAGTAACAAACACACCAAAGGGAACCAAATCCCAGTGAGCACCCCACCAGCTGGAAGGCCTGCCTCGCTCTGAACCACTACATAAGAAAGAACTGTGCTTCTACTACGTGTTCACCCCTTGATGCCAGCTGCCGAGCCCCGCCTGCTAACAGACGTAACCTTTCACCCTCCCTCAGGCCACCTGGGCTGCAGGACAAAGCCTCCACCACGGTGACATACAAGACAGTGACTGCCAAAAAGCATGCTCCAAGTGGGGAGGTCCTGGTGGGGACCAGACCGAGTAAAGGGAGCCCAATGGGGAGGATGTGCGAGCCCTGGCACATTGCCAGGGGTAGAGCCTGGTCTGCTTCTAAAATCGATCATTAATGTGTATTCCCTTCAACCCAGCAATTCCGCATCTGGGTCTTTATCGAGAAATATTTGCACTGGTCTAGGGGGAAAAAAAAAGCATATGCAACCATATTCACTGCAGCATCACCTAAAATAGCATCAACAGCACAAAATGAAGCAACAAAGCATCCATCAAGCAGGCACTGTTAATAGGCCCCGGCAGCCATGCAAGGAAATACTACGCAGTAATTTAAAAAATAGTATTTTTATTACTATTAAATTATTATTAAAACGATGCAGTAGGTCGGTGTCAGGACCACCACCATAGGTGCCTGATTCAGAGACCCATGGAGGGCTGCATCCCAACCATTAGTCTCTGCATAACCCCCTCGGGGGGCACAGCTGCCATTACCCTGGTTCCTCTGTGCCCCTGGCTCTCTGCCTACCCATGTGTCCTCCCCTCTCTCCTAGCTTCTCCAAGCTCAATCTGGTGACAAGCAAGGACCCAAAAAAGAGGAAAAAAAATGTGCCGCAGGAAAGCTCAACAAAAGGGGTCCTATCTTAACCACCTGTTGCTCTATCCACCGAGGGCCCACTCAGAAACACTGAGGGAGGCTTCGGGTATCCCCAAGAAATGCTCTGAGAAGTCCAAGGCACCCTGAGGATGCCGGTGCAGGATCTCCCCTGCGGGGCAGGAAGGACTGGGCAGGCTGGGGAAACACTGGCCCCAGCATCCCTGGGCACCCCGAGGACCAGCTGGGCTGGACTCCCAGGCTTTGATTTTTATACCCACTTCCAGGACCCTCCACACCTGGACTGGTCATGCATGTCTTAGCCAAGAGGGAGGTGACTCCCCATCTCAGCACCCTCCAAGCCAGCAGGACCTGGACAAGAGCCAGAGAAGGGAAATGGGTGCACAGCCTGTGTCACCAAGCGGACACAGTGCTCCTTCCTCAGAGGCCACCTCCCTCATACTCCCAGCAAGGTGCCACCATAAACAGGACCAGCTGCTATTTGTCTCTTGGGGGGGGGGGGAGACCTCCGCCCTGGGACACAGCAAGGCTCCTGGAGGAGGACACCTGAGAAGAGCACTTAGAAATGACATCAAGAGCTCCGGGCTCTCAGCGACACTCTGTGATGGCAACAGCACTACCTGCCTCCCTCAGGACGGGGTCCCCCAAACGGAGACTTGCTGCCCCGTCCCCAAGCCCCAACCCCGGTCCGAAGATGTGCTCTGACCTCTTAGCCCACACTCAGCTCCGACCACCCATCAGAACCACTGAGGGACATTTAAAAATACCCCTGCCCAACTGAGTCAGTGTCTCCGGGGCTGAGGCCCCGAAGATCAACGCCGGTTCTGGCTCTCCAGGTAACGCTCATGTAGAGTAGGATTTTAAGGTGCCTGTTTTGACCTTTATTAGAACTGAGAGAGCTGGACCGGAAGAGCAAGCAACTCCCACAACTCTGGGTGCTCTAGGGGCAAGTGGGCGGCAGCACGCAAGCAGAGAATGGATTTGTGTTTGAGAGCTGGCTGGATTTTGATTATATCCTCTCTCTCTCTCTCTCTCTCTCTCTCTCTCTCTCTCTCTCTCACACACACACACACACACACACACACACAGAAGCAGGTCCACAGAGAAGAGCGTAAACACATGTCAACCCCACAGAGACAAAGAGAGACATCCATCCCCAGGGCACCCACTTGAGGCATCAGCACACTGCCACGCACGAGATACGCAAAGGTGAAGATTCCTTCAGGGGCTGACAGGCAACTCCACGCGCATTTGCACACGCACACGCTCTCCCTCGCAGAAATGCAGAAGCACACCCAGGACACAGCGTAAAGGTAGGTACGGATGCAAGCACCCAGCAGGGCAGAGGCTCACGTACGTTTACCAGATCCTGGATCTACAGGAGTAACACGCACACACTGAGTACGCAAAGGCATTCAGATGCACAGAGGCAATTAGATATATTTGGATTCTGGCACAGATGCTCACACACACATACGCACACGCTCGCACACTCCCAGGGGCACGCCGGACTTGCTGGGTGCTCCTGCCTGCTCTCCGCAGGCCAGCACCTCGGCACTGATTAGAAACCAGCCAGAGCCGAGGCCCCACGGCCCCACCATCCCCCAGCTCTGCTTTGTCACTAGGCTGCTTAGGCAATGATGTGAACCAGCCCAGTGACGCAGGGTGGAGGGGCTGGGGTGCTCTCATCACAGGGCCTCATCTGGGTCTGGACCCGGCTTCCCCATTCCCACTCTCGTCCTCTTTTCTTTTAATTGAGATATAATTGACACACGTAGCATTCTATTAGTCCCGGGTACGTGACGTAACGAGTGGATGTTCATCTGTGCCATCGCCACGGTTAAGTCTCGTTCACATCGTCACCACACAGATGCAACATTTCTCTTGTGATGAGAACTCTTAAGATCTAATCGTTCTTAACCCACTAGTGTCCTCTTCCCACCCCTCCCCAGGCCACCCCCTGCCCAACCGGACTCCCCAATGAGAGAGAGAGTGGGAGAGCTCCAGGGCCTTGATCTCCCCCATGCCCCCTGCCCCCAGTTGGGGACCTCAGGGATCATCTTCTCTAGCTTCTCCAAGATGACAGTGTCCCCAGCCCCTTCTGGCATTTCTGCCCCTCATCCGCCCCCCATCCACGCCCTGACACCTCTCTGCACCCTTATTGGACTATGCTCAGAGTTTACAGTTGGAGGCCACTTGCCCCAAACCTGCTCCTCTTGTGGGCCACAGGCACAGTGCCCCTGCCCCCTGAGATCCCGCCCTGAGATGTGTCCCTCCCTGACACATGCCAGTCCTGTCAGCTGCTCCTCCTCCCCCACACCATCCTGGCCACCTCCCCTCTGCACTCCCCCAACCTGCCAGTGACCATGGCACAGGACAAGGCTAGGCCTGGTCACTGTGGTCTGGGGTGGGACTCTCCCCTCCCTGAGGATAAACACTGGACTCTTTCGGCCCAGCCACACAGCTGGCTCAGGACAAGCGGGTCACCGATATTCCAGGCTCGCTCTCTCGGGTGCAGGCTCTGCTGGGGCAACTGGCTTCTGCAACTGATCTGAGAACAATTAAACCCTACTCCCTGGCATTTATGGTGGCGGACGTGGGGACCACTTTGCTAGAGTTTTAAGACTTAGGACTTCAGGAAAATCAGGTTTTCTGTGCCTCGATTTGACTGTCTGTAAAATGGAAATAATAGTAATACTATCTCAGAAATACTACGGTAAGACACCAAATTCATGTAAGTAAACTACAGAGTCTATCGCATAGGCTGGTTCCAACAGTAGGGCCACATTGGTATTAACCGTCACTAATTTCTTACTACCTGTGTTCAGGTTTTTGCACCTCTCGCTGTCACCTCTATCCCCATTGCCCTGTGTCACTTGCAAAATGGGAGCAGCAGGACTGCTACACCTTTATTTGCTAATGACTAACATTTATTAAACGCCCAGTATGTGCGAGGGACTCTTCCAAGCAATTTGCATTACCTCGTTTCACCCGCCCCAAACCTTAAAGTAGTTGCTAGCATTATCCTTATTCTATAGCTAAGGTGACTAAGGCACAGAGAAACTAAGTGACTTCTCCAAAGTCACACAGCAAATATGCAGTAGAGCTGGGAGGGAACCCAAGCCGGCTGGCTCCAAAGCTCGAACACTCCATCCTTACACTCCTGCCATTCTCTGTCTTTGGTAAAGGGAAGATCAGCGCAGAATGCACTGTACGTTGTTCGTGATCCTTCTCACACCTTTAGGGATTGGTCAGCTCCCTCCTGCACGTTATTTCTACATCTGAAATATCTTCCTTGGGAAGAGTTCATTATAGACACACCATTTCACACCGGAGACGGGCTTTAAAGGCCATCTTTCATTACTACTGCACTCCCTGTGGGGAAACTGAGCCCAGAGAGGGTGAGATTCTTCCCAAGGTCACACAGCAGAGAGTACTGGAGCCCTGCCTGGCGGGAATGCACATGTGACAGGTATGTGGTCTAGAGGGGAGTCTGCTCCCCCGTCCACACTCGGGAGGCCCTCTTCGGGCCCCACCAGCGTGGTGGACTGACAGCAACCAACGGGAACAGACTGGAGCAGCCGCCGCGTGCTCGGTGAGCCA